TAAAAATACAAAAAAATAGCCAGCTGTGGTGGCATACTCCTATGGTCCCAGCTGCTCGGGAGGCTGAGCCGGGGGAGTCCCTTGAACCCAGGTGGTGGAGAATGCAGTGAGCTGAGATTGTGCCACTGCACTACAGCCTGGGTGACACAGCAAGACTCCATCTAAAAAAAAAAAAGGAAGGGTTACAAAAATTCTTTTTGCATTTTATTTATTTATTTATTGAGACCGAGTTTTGCTCTTGTTGCCCCGGCTGGATTGCAATGATACAATCTCAGCTCACTGTACCCTCCACCTCCCGGGTTCAAGTGACTCTCCTGTCTCAGCTTCCTGAGTAGCTGGGATTATAGGCTCACGCCACCACGCCAGGCTAATTTTTGTATTTTTAGTAGAGACAGTGCTTTATCATACTGGTCAGGCTGGTGCTGAACCCCTGACCTCGGGTGATCCACCTGCCTCGGCCTCCTAAAGTGCTGGGATTACTGGGCTGAGCCACCACGTTTGTCCCGTTCGCATATTATTTATTGGATAATAAATTTTTTCCATATAGTCTCAATCATATAAGCTCTCCTCCCCACCCTTTTTTTCTTTTCCTTTTTCATTCCTTTTGAGACAGGGTCTCGCTCTGTTGCCCAGGCTGGAGTGCAGTGGCATGATCTTGGCTCACTGTAGCCTCCACCCCTGGATTTAAGTGATTCTCATGCCTCTGCCGCCTGAGTAGCTGGGATTACAGGCATGCGCCACCACACCCGGCTAATTTTTCTTTTTTAAACAGAGATGGGGTTTCACGAGGTTGGCCAGGCTGATCTCAAACTCCTCACCTCAGGAGATCCACCTGCCTCGGCCTAGCAAAGTATGGGAATTACAGGCATGAACCACTGCACTCTGCCCCTGCCTTTTTTTTTCTTTTTTTGAGACGGAGTCTCACTCTGACACCAGACTAGAGTGCAGTGGCGCGATCTTGACTCACTGTAACCTCCGCCTCCTGGGTTCAAAGGATTCTCCTGCCTCAGCCTCCTGAGTAGCTGGGACTACAGGTGCGTGCCAACATGTCTGGCTAATTTTTGTATTTTTAGTAGAGACAGGGTTTCACCATGTTGGCCAGGCTGGTCTTGAACTCCTGACCCCAAGTGATCTGCCTGCCTTGGCCTCCCGAAGTGCTGGGATTACAGGTGTGAACCACCACACGTGGCCCCTTTTTTTTCTTTTTAAATCTGCAATGGGTACAGACCACATCTTTGCGATTCCACCTTTAGGATCTGGGGGAGGAAAGAGGGGACTCCCAGGAATGGGGTCTTTGACCCGGAATGACACTGACTTTCCTCCCTTCTTCATAGAGAATCCTTAGGGCCGTAGGCAGCAGCATCTGATGCCCTAAAGCGTTGCAGATGGCTCCCTGAGTCCATCCAGACAAATGGGTCAGGGTGCCCAGGCTGGAAGGTCACCCAGCGGGGACCAGGCCTAGGCACCTGCCTTCCCAGCTGCTCTGCCCTTGTCTGACTCCACATTCCAGGCGGCCCAGAGAGGCTCTTCACTGCCCTTTGTAAAACAGCCCAGGGTGGGAAGGAGAGGCTGGGGTGCGGGTCCCAGCTCTGTGAGGGAGTCACAGGCGCACCTTCCCTGATGCATTTCTTTCTCGCCTCTGTCTTTGCCATATTTTCCTTTGCAGGCTAAGGCTGGGGCTATGCAAAAATCCTCACTTCTGAAGGAAGAAATGTGGGCAGTGGGTGGAGTTTAAGAGGCACTTTTCACCACAGTCCTATGCTGCCCAGGGATGACCGATTGCCTTTTAAAAATGGGAGTCACTTCGTTTCTGCTAATCGATCTACATGCTTATTGTAAAAAAAAAAAAAAATGAATAAAATAGAAAGGTGTACTGTAGAAGGTGAAAATCACACGCACAGATATCACCATATTTTTAGACGGGTTGCGGGGCCGGGGGGAGACAGCCTTGCTGGCTCCTGCAGCCTCACGCTTCCAGCCGAAGGCGATGCTGAGGCCCTGTTACCTCCCTCTCCTTCCTCTTCTCACTTCGCTGTCAACAAAACATCTGACCTGCAGAGGGGAGTGGCTTGGGCTTTACTGAAAACAAGAGTCATGATGCTCAGACAAAAGCAACGTTCTTATGTCTATTTTGGTTTCTTTTAAGCTAAGCATAGATTTCTCTGGAAAGGACGGGAGCTGGCTGTGCTCCCTGCGTGGAAAACAAGAGCTCAGCGAAGCACCTGGTTTTCTCAAGTTCCCTGACCTCCAGTCCTGCTCCCGATTCTTGATGACAAAACACATTCAGTGCCCTTGATTGATTTCGCAGAGAAGCTGCAGTGTTGCAGGATGGAGCGCAGCCCGCTCTGCTGCAGATGGATGCCTCCGCCGTGATGGTCTTCTCTTTTGAGAGCAGATCAGGTCGGTTGCAGTGGGCCAGCGCTGGGCTGGGAGACCACATACCCGGCTGCCTTCGCTCTTCCTGGAAAAGCCTATTTATCCGAGCCACCTATGCAGCCCCCACCCCCTTTTCTCTGCATTTCTCCTGCATTCACTCCTGCCTTGGGTCGTATTTGCCCCCCACACTCAGGTTTCCGTGGTGGTTCTCTTGCTCATTTTCCTGTATCTTTAATTCTGGCTGTCAAACAGTCCGAGTTTTGGGGAGTCATCTGGTCTACCTGCACATTGTAGGACAAGGTGCCCCACTCTGTTCAGGCAGAACAAGGGTTTTTCTGCTTTTTTTTTTTTTTTTTTTTTTGAGACAAAGTCTTGCTCGATTGCCCAGGCTGGAGTGCAGTGGTGCGATCTCAGCTCACTGCAGCCTCAAACTCCTGTGCTCAAGCGATCCTCCCACCACAGCCTCCAGTGGTTGGTACTACAGATGCATGCCACCATGCCTGGCTAATTTAAACCATTTTTTAAATTGAGGCCAGGCGTGGTGGCTCACACCTGTAATCCCCGACTTTGGAGACTGAGGCAGGTGGATCACCTGAGGTTAGGAGTTTAAGACCAACCTGGCCAACATGGTGAAATCCCATCTCTACTAAAAATACAAAATTAGCTGGGCGTTGTGGTGGGCGCCTGTAATCTCAGCTACTCGGGAGGCTGAGGCTGGAGAATCGCTTATACCCAGGAGGCAGAGTTTGCAGTGAGGCAAAATGGCACCACTGCACTACAGCCTGGGTGATAGAGTGAGACTCCGTCTCCAAAAAAAATATATATATATATATATTTTTGGTCAAGACAGGGTTTCCCAATGTTGCCTAGGGTGGTCGCAAACTCCCGAGCTCAAGCAATCCTCCCGCCTCAGCCTCCCAAAGTGCTAGGATTACAGGTCTGAGCCACCACGCCTGGTCTGTTCCACTCTTTTTGGGTCATAGCTGGGCCTGGAACCCCCTTCGGCCCCACAGGTGCAGGCTGATGTTCACAGCAGCAGCAGCCTGCTTCCGTGGTGTGTGGTCTTACAAACACCGCTGGATCTGAGTCTTGAATAAGTGACCATAAAACACTCATGGAGCTGTTGTTATCAACACCCTCCTCGCTTTCTTTTTTTCTTTCTGCATTATTTTATTTTAATTGAAATGGGGTCTTGGTCTGCTGGCCAGGCTGGAGTGCAGTGGTACAATCATAGCTCACTGAAGTTTCAAATTCCTGGGCTCAAATTTCTGCCTCAGCCTCCCAAGTAGCTGGGACTACAAGTGTAAATATATGTATATATTTGTAAACACAGGGCCTCACTATGTTGCCCAGGCTGATCATGACCATTTTCATAGATTGAATCAAACCAGCTTTGTGGTTTTTTTTCTGAGATTCCTAACACTCGTTTTTAAGATTAAAGTATCTTATTTAGAGGCTCTGTGGAAAACAGATGTCCTTGCTTGTGCAGAGGTGGAGACATTGGAAATTGGAACGGCAACCCCAAGCGGCCAGCCCACCTCCTGCCACGGTCATGGAATCACCCAGGTGAGAAAGGTCAGCTCTTGAATTTCCAGCCTGCCATTACTCACAGATGCTCTTTGCCTTTCAAAAACCTAGAGCCACTTGCAAATGCTTGGCTGGAACTTGAAGAGAATCATCCGTGACATACTGGAACAAGGTTTCTTTTAAATGCCAAGATGCCATGCAATCATTCAATCCCCTTCTTGAACCATCAGGGTGAGAGTTGGGCAGTCACAAGCCCCTTTCTGGTCTTTACATGAATCACAGAATTTCAAACTGGAAGGATCCTTAGAAATTCGCCTTTTCCAGGTTTCTCACGTTACAGATGTGGAGACTGAGGGTAGAGGGGGGCGGAGGCTGTGCCGAGTTCTACAGGAATTGGTGGCAGGCTGGGGACCATCACACGTGCGTCTCCATCCTCAGTCCAGGACCTGGACCCTGAGTAGCCTCCTGGTTTTGGGTCTCATCTGTTAAACAGCAGAGGGTGGCCAGGTGCGGTGGCTCACACCTGTAATCCCAGCACTTTGGGAGGCTGAGGCGGGTGGATCATGAGGTGAGGAGATCAAGACCATTCTGACTAACACAGTGAAATTCCGTCTCTACTAAAAAAAAAAAAAATATCCGAGTGTGGTGGTGCACACCTGTAGTCCCAGCTACTTGGGAGGCTGAGGTAGGAGAATCACTTGAATCTGGGAGGTGGAGGTGGCAGTGAGCCAAGATTGTGCCACTGCACTCCAGCCTGGGTGACAGAGAGACACTTGGTCTTAAACAAAACAAAACACAACAGTAGAGGGTATGTTTTCCTCTGCTGTTTTGAGGAGAGGGTGAATCTTATTCTGCTTTGTCAGATGGAAGTTTGGACAATTACTTCATAGTGTTCATTCATCTGGCACAGATATTGATCGAGGGCCCCTATGGGACCTGAACTGAATCACTGTGGGAGACTCCTCTAATATTGTCTAAGACCTCCAAGTCTGCCTGTCTGTGAACTGTCATCGGAGTGACCTGATTTAAGAATTCAGGTTCTGGCTCTCTTCCTTGGTGCTGCCTCTGGAGGTGGCAGCCATCTCCTCATCGGCATCATGGCCGCCCTCAGACCCCTTGTGGAGCCCAAGCTCATCAAAAAGATGGTCACCTGGCACCGGTCTGACTGGTATGTTAAAATTAGGCGCAACTGGAGGAAACCCAGGGGTATTGACAACAGGGTTCATAGAGGGTTCAAGGGCCATCTGGTCTTGATGCCCAACATTAGTTATGGGAGCAACAAAAAAACAAAGCACGTGCTGCCCAGTAGCTTCTGGAAGTTCCTGGTCCACAACGTGAAGGAGCTGGAAGGGCGGCTGATGCGCAGCAAACCTGATGACGCAGAAGTCGCTCACAAAGTTTCTTCCAAGAACCACAAAGCCAACATGGAAACAGCCGCCCACCCGGCCATCAGACTCACCAACCCCAATGTCACACTGCAGTGAAGAAAATGAGTAGACAGCTCATGTGGACGTTTTGTGTTTAAATAAAACTGTAAAAACTGCACACAAAAAAAATGCAGATTCCGAATCCTGGTCTCCCTGCTCCCCGATTTGGGGGTCTGGAGCGGAAGCTGGGCATCCTGATTTTTAGTTTCCTGCGGGATTCTGACCACCTACTAGGTTTGGACTTCAGCGTGCTGACTATCTTCACTCAAAATTTCAGCTAAGAAAACCCAAGATCATGCATGTTATAGGTAAGGAAACTGAGTCTCTCACAGATTCAGTGGGGCTTTTCCAGGTCACAGAGCTAGTTAGGAATGAACGGGTTTAGCGTCGCTGCTTTTCTGTGACTGTGGCTTCCTGCAAGAACTGCTGGAGCATAGCTATCTGCAGCCACCGGAGGTGAGGGACAAGGTGACAAGGCAGAGGACTGGAGTTATTCTGTTGCCTTCAGATGAGAACAGGGTCTTCCTAAGACCCTGCATCCCTGAAGCCTCTGCTGGTGACTGTGAGGAGAGTCTCTTTGCCAACACAGAGGGTGCACTGAGTTTCAATAGGCGAGTCGGCTCCGTGGGTTATTCATTTGTAATAACCAAATGAATGTTTGGAATGATAAAGATTTAATCCTAGAGCCTCTATTAAACACTTGCTATGTGCTGGGTGAGAAAGGTCTGGGATTGTACTCTTCATTCACATTTTGAAAGGAACGCAAATGTCACCAATATTTTGATATGGTTGGCCACATTCATCTAAGCCTCAGAAAACCATCCTGAGAGATAGGGTATCTTCCAGAGTCCAACCTGAGGCTTTGGATTAATAAGTTACACAGGGGGCCGAACACGGTGGCTCACGCCTGTAATCTCAGCACTTTGGGAGGCGGAGGTGGGTAGATCACGAGGTCAGGAGTTCGAGACTAACCTGGTCAATATGGTGAAACCCCATCTCTACTAAAAATACAAAAATTAGCCAGGCATCGTGGTGTGCACCTGTAGTCCCAGCTACTCGGGAGGCTGAGGCAGGAGAATCACCTGAACCCGGGAGGTGGAGGTTGCAGTGAGCCGAGATCATGCCACTGCACTCCAGCCTGGGTGACAGAATGAGATTTTGTCTCCAAAAAAAAAAAAAAAGTCACACAGAGTTGCTAGATTTCACGGCTGCTACAGAGCATGACATGGAGCAACCATCTGTTGGGTGTTCAACTAGGCACCTTCACAAGCTCATCTTCTCCTTCCAGGCGGGTAGAATGAGCCCACTTTTACAGTTTCGGAAACTAAGACCAAGCTAGTGAAGGGAACCAAGCTCACAGAGTTAGAAAGCCACACAGCCAAGATGCGAATCCAGGTGCTTCTGACACCGAAGTCCCAGTGCAGAGGGGAAATGAGCCTGTCTCCTTGTCCCCTGCTTTGCTGGTCGGCCTCAAGCGTGGCACACTAGACATCCGGTTTAGCCGAAGCAGGCACTGCATGTTACATTCGGGTTTATATCCCAACGTACACAGTTCTCTGTACGTTGTACATGAGCCAAGTTTCCTGAATTGAAAAAGAGTCACCCAAGAGGCTTGCCTCCGCCCACAGAAATCTAGAGTTTTAGATGTTTGCACGTGAAGCTATATCAACATAAGAATAAACTACTAATACCAAGAAGTGGGAAAAAATTTAAAAGGATAAAACTCTCAGAAATGAGATAGATTAAATAAAAAAAATGTATTCGATGAAAATTTTTTTCACTTGGTTTCTTTCTTTTTAGACAGAGTCTCGCTCTGTCGCCAGGCTGGAGTGCAGTGGCGCGATCTTGGCTCACTGTGACCTCTGTCTCCTGGGTTCAGGTGATGCTCCTGCCTCAGCCTCTGAGTAGCTGGGACTACAGGTGTGCGCCATCACACCCAGCTAATTTTTGTATTTTTAGTAGAGACAGGGTTTCACCATGTTGGCCAGGATGGTCTCGAACTCCTGACGTCGTGATCCGCCGGCCCCGGCCTCCCACAGAGCCACTGCGCCCGACCTTTCACTTGGTTTCCTATGAAAAAAATTAAAGAGAAAAATCTGATTGACACTGTGGAGGCTACTACGCGGAAAAAAAAAAAAAAAGTACTATCTTTTCTAATGTTATAAATGGTTTTTCCCGAAGCTTTTGCCGCTTTTTCAAAATCTGGAAGAAACAAGGTGGTCGATTCCTTTCATTTCAGGAGCCTGTAACAATGTTTTTGAAAAAAATAAATGACACTGACAGTTTCATTTGCAGGATTGACTCTAATAACACGCCTCTACCGAACGAATGGCGATGAACGGGGGAAAATGGAATTACGTCACCGAGGTAACGGGGTCGGGGACGCCCCTTCCTCCGCCGCAGGCAGGTGGCGCGGCGAGAACGCTCTGAGGAGGTTTGGTCTGTCGGCCACGCCGTAGGTCGCGGTGCATTCTGGGTCCTGGCAATATGGCGTCCTCCTTGATGTGCTGATGAGTGGAGTTTCACTGTAGCTCCAAACCGGAGGGCAAAGCTCCCCTGACCCAGTAAGCCCACATTGCCCGTTCTCTCCGTGGTTCCCTGTCGCCCGTTTCTCAGGACTCGTTCTCAGGCAGGAGAGAGCCTCTGGGCTGAAGGCCAGGACCAGCCAGGCCGCGCGGACGTGAGGTTGAGGAACCGGGTTGCGGGCGAGCACGATGGGCCGGTCCTGGCTCTGGTTGCAGCAGCTCAGGCGAGTGCGGGACCCGCAGGGCTGAGAGTGGCCAGAAGAGACCCAAGGCCCTCTGAACCCGATCCCTCGGCCGGAGACCTCAGCCCAGTCGGCCCAGGGGCGAACCGGCACCAGGAGCGGCCTGCCCGTGCTCGGATCTGCAGAGGCGTTGGAGGCCGAGAGCGGGGTCACAGCGAGGCCCGAAGTCCCTCACGCGTTTGACAGCTCGGCTCGCAGCCCCTCCGGAAACGTACAGCCTCGGGAGCGGCCAGCGGCTGGGGACCTGGGGTGGGGTGTGTCCGCGGAGCTTCTGGGGCTGCCCCGTTTTCCAGCGGCCCCCTCCCCGACTCCCGCTCAGAGTTAAGAGAGAAGGATCTCAGACTTTTTGCCCGAGCCAGGGTCTCCGCACTCTCCATCCCTTTCTTTTTCGATTCTCCGTTTTTCTGTGTCTTATTTCACCCCTTCTGGTACACGCTCGTTTTTAAGGCTGGAGGTTCTCGAGCGCTTACTGCCAAGGACTCCCCCTCCCCCTCCCCCACTGATGGAGTCCGAAATGCTGCAGTCGCCTCTGCTGGGCCTGGGGGAGGAAGATGAGGCTGACCTTACAGACTGGAACCTACCTTTGGCTTTTATGAAAAAGAGGCACTGTGAGAAAATTGAAGGCTCCAAATCCTTAGCTCAGAGCTGGAGGATGAAGGATCGGGTAAGTGGATTCTGATGGCACCCCTTGAACTTGGTAGTTTCTCCAACGACGGAAGTTTACAGCCCGAAAAGTGTCCTTAGCAAAGCGCGAACATTTCCCCTAAGCCACACGTCGTAAGTCAATTAGAAAGCAAAAGCCATTTCAGACTGCAGTTTTTGATTGGAAATGGGAAAGGCTGTTTTGGTTCGTCGTTACTCCCTGCGCAGTGTTCATTCAATTCCAACTAAGTTCTAATGCAGACAATAAAAGTTAAGCAAATTTGAAAATACAGCATTGCGAGTATTACATGCTCTTTGGCATGCTACTTAGTTCTGTTAACACTGAGATTCACGACGTGCGATATAATGCTTATATCCACATGGTTAGTCTACTTGTAAAAATATCCAGGGTGGGTGGGTGAAGTGCAGAAGTCTCATATACTATGTTAGGAAACGAGATCACTGGAAAATGTTCAACTAGTAACAAATTAGTGCCGTTATTTTAAAGTTACAGTGAACTTCATTCTAGTCTTCTAAACAGTTTGTCTTGAAGCTAGACTTCCCTGCTTTTATGTAGTGTCCTGTTGCTGTAACTTGGAGATAGAATTTCTTTAATTGTGCAGTTAGGGGATGAGGGGTTGAGACTTGGGTGCAGGTTTTAGGGTATCCTCATGGTGTTGGAGTGTGGAGAGTGACTCAACAAGCAGCTGGTAGGAAAGAAAGCCGAATTTTTGTTGAATCTTTCCTTCATAAAACACTATCTATTTCCTGGTCTAAAAAGCAAAGGGGTGATAACTGCTTCTCATCTGTGGACACTTACAATTTGTCTTTTGGTAAGTATTTTCTCCCTCCAGGCTGCTTTTAATGATTTGCACATTTCAGTGATATAAAAGAGGAAGTTGCTGTTACAATGTTTGATTTCTTCTAGGCTTATGTATATGTTTATGGAATATTATTGTTTTTTAGTATATGATGTTGGACATATATAAGATTACACTGCTGGGCTGAGCACGGTGGCTCATGCCTGTAATCCCAGCACTTTGGGATGCTGAGGTGGGTGGATCACCTGAGGTCAGGAGTTTGAGATCAGCCTGGCCAACACGGTGAAGCCCCGTCTCTTCTAAAAATACAAAAATTAGCCAGACCCGGTGGCGGTACCTGTAATTCCAGCTATTCAGGAAACTGAGGCTGGAGAATTGGAAGGCAGAGGTAGTAATGAGCTGAGATTGCGCCATTGCACTCCAGCCCGGGAGACAGATTGAGACTGTGTCTCAAAAAGAAAAAAAAAAAAAAGATTATACTTCTGGCAACTCTAGCCAGAAGTCACCAGTAACCAGTACTTTAGTTACTGATTTGGCTTACTTATAAAAGGTTAGGAAAATTTGTTTCATCCAAAAGCAGTTAAAGGAGTTAAATAAGTTAGTCATTGGTGGAGGTTGTATAAATTCTGTCTTATGGACATCTTTAGTACTAATAATATAGTTAAAAGCTTTTGTGGTTGCTATATGTATATATATGTGAAAAGACTTTTTGTTTTTTCATTCTTTGTGGAGGGTAGTGTTTTTGTTTTTGTTGTTGTTCTTTTTTTACTGTTGCTTGGTTCCCTCCTCTGTCCTAAACCTATGTTCCAACTGTTTGAAACTGATTA